CTATCTTCGTTCTTTTCCTCCTTACCCTCTTCCTCTCTTCATTTGCTTCTTTTCATTCCTCTTCCTTCTCGCCTTCCTCCTCCTCCTCTCTTTATTCTCCTTCCAGTCCATTATTCTTCGTTCCACTTCCTTCTCCAAATTTTCCTCTTCCCATATCTCATCCTCTCCTTTTTCATCCCTTCCCGTCTATCTGTACCTCCCAATCTCCTCCTTTCTCCTCCTCTTCTCCCTCTTCCATCCCCTTCCCGTCTATCTGTACCTTTCCCTCCTCCTCTTCTCCCTTCCATCCCCTTCCACCTCTTTCCCTTCACACGTAAACACAGACAAACAATCAGATTAAACAACCAACAACAAACAACGAAGCTGGTAAAGGTAAACAAACAATAAACGCCACAGCTGGTGCAGGTAAACAGCTGGTGCAGGTAAACAGCTGGTGCAGGTAAACAGCTGGTGCAGGTAAGTCATCACTAGACAGGTGGTGAACTAACGAACACACTCATCACACTCAAAGAACACACTCAACGAACACACTCAACGAACACACTCAACGCACTCACTCTGTCACTCCATAACACAAAAGACATGAAGAACAAAGTATTAAAAATCTCAAAAAATAGCCGAAATAAATTGACGTTTTTTGTGGGGTTTTTATGCCTTAAAGAATAAATTTAATGTTATTTTGGGGAAGTCATTTCATTTTATTTATTTTATTTTTCTATTTTTATTTTTTTATTTATTTATTTATTTTGTTTATTTATTTTTTATTTTTGACCTTTTGACCTTCCTCCACATGTTGGTTCAGGTCTAGCTATGTAATTATGCCACTTAATACGACAGCCCACAGCCAGATCATGGACAATGGCTGTTAATTACCAGATCCTTAACAGAGCTGGGGGGTGGGAGGAGGATGGAAGAGATGGAAGAGGGAGAAAGTGGGGGTTGGTGAAAAGGTGAGGGTGGTGATTTTTGTCTTCTCCTCTCTCTCCCCTTCCATCTTTCCTCCTCCCTCATAACCTACCCCCTCTACCCACCACCTAGGGCTATTTCACAGGTCGTTCTACTAACTACCGTCTTGTTTGCTCTTCTTGACCAAACATACGATTTAATTAAAAACAGGACAATTATTATTATGTTAAGAATCCAAGTAGCCGCTGGGTGGTGACGCATGAGGGGTCGTAAGTCACCTGGAAACATGTGTTATTACAAGGTGTAAAGCAGTTAACACACACACCCGAATTATACTCGTAATCGCGTGTAACGTCGACACCGGAGTACAACCGCCCTAACATATGACAATATCTACCCCCGGCCTACGAGACGCTAAGGGGCGGGGCACTTTCTTCGTTTACCTGGAGACTGTGTGTACCTGTGTGGTGATGTTTGTGTACCTGTGTGGTGATGTGTGTACCTGTGTGGGATGTATGTGTACCTGTGTGGTGATGTTTGTGTACCTGTGTGGTGATATGTGTACCTGTGTGGTGATGTTTGTGTACCTGTGGTGATGTTTGTAACTGTATGAGGTACCTGTGAGTGTTTGTGCACTGTGTGATGTTTGTGTACCTGTGTGATGTTTGTGTACCTGTGTGGTGATGTGTGTACCTGTGTGGTGATGTGTGTACTGTGTGGTGATGTATGTGTACCTGTGTGGTGATGTATGTGTACCTGTGTGGTGATGTTTGTGTACCTGTGTGGTGATGATGTGTACCTGTGTGGTGATGTATGTGTACCTGTGTGGTGATGTTTGTGTACCTGTGTGGTGATGTTATGATGTTTTAACTACGTTTTAAATAGTAATGGGATCATGTGAAGATTAGGCACCCTAGCTTATTTGACCTTAGTAAAACCATTCTAGAGCGTTAGGTTAGGTTAGGTAATCTTGAGGGGGAAAATGGTATGATGGTGACACACACACACACACACACGCACACACACACACACATATAAACGCACAGACGGTAAAGTGACGCACACACCCTTAAGCACAGCCCACAAGGTGCTGTATATCACGTGGTGTAGAGTCTCACGCTGTGTTAACAAGTGAGGCGGCAACAGCGACTCGGGCACAAGAGGTGGTAAATTTTTCTTCTCCTTGCCATTAATCCCTGGGAGTTTCCGGCTGACTCCATGAATCCACGAGTCCGAACCCGGCGAACTCATGAACCCGAACCTGGCGAATTCGTGAACCCGAACCCGGTGAATCCATGAACCCGAACCCGGTGAATCCATGAACTTGAACTGACAAACCCACGGGTGAATGCATGTACTCGAACTAACGAACCCACGAACCCAAACCCGATGGACCTATAAACTCCAACTAACGATATAACGAACTCGATACAATGAAGTCACGAACCCGAAGCTACGACCCTGACCCGTTAACGTATGAACCTGATCCGGTGAACCCATGAGATTGACCCTACGAACCCACGAGTCCTATCCGGTGAACCCACGAACCTAACCCACCCAGCGGACCCATTAAGTCGGTCTGTTCCTCACCCATAACCACCCATTTTCCTTTCTGCCTGGCAATGAGATGACTTTTTTAACACACAATTATTTAATTATTTCTCCCTTATATATTATTTTTATCTCTCTATCTTTTCTGAGCATTCACCATGAAGTCGGAGGAGGGAGGAGGAGGGAAGAGGAGGAGGAGGAAGAGGAGGAGGAGGAGGGAAGAGGAGGAGGAGGGAGGACGAGGGAAGAGGAGGAGGAGGAGGAGGAGGAGGAGGAGAGGAAGGAGGAGGAGGAGGAGGAAGAGGAGGAGGAGTATTACCTGCTATATATCTCTCAGGGATGAAGATTCTAAGAATGAGTGGCAGAGCAACCTGGAATTACCAGACACAAAGATACGTACTCAGCAAAGCGTTCGTTTATTTTGTAATGTTTATCATTCGATTCTAAGATTTGAACGATTAAATCTATATTTTGGTTGGGTGAGCTGTACAGATGAGCTGGGGAATTATGAGCGCCATTACCCGCCATATATCAGCCTCGGACATCTTCCGTGGCGCGCTGGCAACCCGGAATTATTCTCCCTGGGCGTGTTATTTCCCGCGCTACACCTGTAATTGATTTGGAGGTGTGGGTGCGAATTAGCGCCAACCACTGAGCTTGTTATTCGGTTTAATTACACTTGTTCTAACGCCCTCACAGCCGACTCTAAGGAAGATGAGAGGTTTAGCGTTATTTACACCCGAGTCCGCCAGCCAGCCGTCCGTCCGCCAGCCAGCCACGCTGCGTCTACTGGCTGTCCCGCAGCCAGTGAGGAACAACACCGTCCACCCGCCAGCCAGCCACGGATCATTACTACACACATACAATATATATAACCATTGGCGTTTTTGAGGCTCTCCTTTGCTTGCCACTGACTGTCACATTGCCGCTGTGATATACGCCGCTGGCTAAGTGATACCAATTGAACGTTAGTGTTATGTTGTATTTGTTCGGGAGCCATTGTGGTGTAGAGTTATGAGGGAATAAAATAGTGTAGTCGATGCAGCGGGGGAGGAGAGTGGTGGAGGTGAGCCCTGACGTGACAGCCGCCCAGTGTTTTAGTGATGCTCTTTGATGTTGCCGAAATTAGCCGCGGTGGCGAGACGTACACCTTAAATTAGAGTGTTGGAAGGCTCTCTGTGTTCCCGAGGTCTCGCCTATTCTTTATGCCGTAGCGACCAGAGTGATGAAGTTATTATTCTTCGGGGTAATTCCACCGTGCGCTCTGGAACAGGTCGGTGTGGCCAGCTGATGAAGTTATCAGTGTGGTGGTGGTGGGACTCCCGGCCACCTCACTACCTGCCTTCTGGTGGTGGGTGGTGGAGCGTGGTGGTGGTGGACGTTTTAGTAGTGGGCGGTAGTGGGCGGGTGTGCAGGTGGCTGGTGGTGGTGGTTGGGGTTGTGTGATTGTGGTGGATGGTGATTTGTGTTCATTGTGGTTATGAGTTGGTGGTGGACATATTGGTAACCGTTGTGTGGTTGGTGGTGGTGGGTGAGGAATGGTGGGAATATGGTTCGATGGTTGGAGGATGTGTTGTGGTAGGTGAATGGTGAGGGGTGGTGATAATTGTGGTTAGGAATGTGGTGGTGTGTAGTTAGCGGTGATAGGTACAGGTATGTGGTTAATGGATGCTGACTGAGGTATGGATGGTGGTTCCAACTCGGCGTGTGATGGTGGTGAGTGTTGGTGGATGTAGTTAGTAGTAGTAGTAGTAGTAGTAGTAGTAGTAGTAGTAGTGCCGAATAGTGATGGGTGCAGGTGAGTGTGGTGAAGATGATGAGTGGTGTGGTGGGGAGTGTGGTAGTAGTGAGAGGTGTGGTATAGGGAGTGTGATGTGGTATACAGTAGTCTGAGTTCTCACCACCTTCAGGTAATCAAGGACTCAGGTAAACCTCGAGGGTGAAGATAAAAGGATTTCTTCAATATACAGAGAAGAAAATTATCACCCTTCTCTCCTTGCATTTATCCTCTTGTTATTTTCCCTCTTAATCTGTGACGTAAGGAATCTCATTGTCTCACTGGGATATCTTCTGAGTTATGATTTCAAGGTAGTTTAAGACCCTAACCTTCAATAATCTTCAAGCAGCTAACTCGACGTCAGTGTTTGAAGTATATTGGGAAAGTGTTTTTATGTTGATTGAGATATTTCGACATTAAGTCCCTTGCTCTCTGACCTGACCACACCTAAGACTAAAAACAGTGAGTTGAGAGGAATGGTGAACACACAGCTGGTCATGTGAGACACAACAGTTGATAACATCCTCACGAAAAGAGATAAATATTATGTGTTAAGTTCAAGGCAGAGAAAAAACGTTCCATATGAAGGATACAACATCTTGTCAGGTTGTGTTGTGGTTGTACGTCACTGAAGAGTTGTAGTGAGGAAGCAGCTGTTAGTTTGAAGAAAATACGATCTTATTCTTCTGTGTACTGCCTTAAGACCCTCGTCGATACTGACCAATGAGCATCAAGATCTTGTGGTAATTGTTTCTCTCCTCCACAGACTTGGACGACGCCGACGGTGACGCGGCGGCCAAGCGGCGACGGTCGAGGACCAACTTCAACTCTTGGCAGCTGGAGGAGCTGGCGAGGGGAGGCTCTGGCCATGAGGCTTGGACTAACGGAGAGAGAGTCGCCGATCCGTGTTGAGTTGAACCCGAGAGAGTCGCCGTGAGTATCTACCCACCAGTGTGAGTCTACTGGGGAGACTCACCAGAGAGAGTCGCTGGTATCACCACAGTGGAGTCTACTGGGGAGACTCACCCAGAGAGAGCCGGAGTATTTACCCACCAGTGTTGAGTCTACTGGGGGAGACTCACCCAGAGAGAGTCGCCGTGAGTATCTTACCCACCAGTGTTGAGTCTTACTGGGGAGACTCACCCAGAGTAGAGTCGCCGTGAGTATCTTACCCACCAGTGTTGAGTCATGTGCGATAGGTGTGACAGTACCAATAAAAAAAAACTGCGGAAAGGTTAATAGAAATATCTCTTGGTCTCAGGTAACAGGTGAGGCAGTAGGTGATAGTTAACAGGTGAGGCAGTAGGTGATAGTTAACAGGTAAAGGCAGTATAGTAATCAATATTCACCGTCCACTCAGGTCTCAGAAGGTCGGTGTTACTGGCCGGTAAAACATTAAAGATCTAAAGGTCAAGAGTCTCTTTTGGCAGCGGGTAAAGGTGATCTGGTGTGAGCGAGAGAGAAAGGTATTGTCCGTTGAGTTCAATGGGCGCTGACAACCGTGGCTAAGTGTTGCATAAAACAATGAAACTGCCGCCCTAACATACACACAATATAAGAGAGATAAGCTACTGCCTCATGCCTCACCGTTTAGAATCTATTTTTACACGGTCAAGATGGTGACAGTCGTTGTGTCGCAGCCTCCGGGTCTCTCAAACTGACATGTCTATCAAAGTCACTACCACAATCGTTCTATCTAAACTAACAGGTCAACAAACGCCTTTTATAAAACCAAAACGAAGAAAAGGACATTCACAATCGTACTTTTTTTCTTCACGTAAAACGAAATCGTGTTGTTAACCAATCTTTCTGCGTTACGGTGACACAAAACAACATTACCACCAATACAAACTGCATTTCTCACAGTGATCATTCCTTTAGGTATAACAGACGTCATCAACACTGAGAAACACATCAGCTGTAACGAATAAAATATTGTAAACTTTTTTTCTTCTTTTTTACGTCTGGCTATTGATGCAAAATACTACATTGTGAGAAGAGTCATTCAATTGGTTGTTGGGATATGTTGTCAGGTTAAAGCGGAAAATTGTTCGTGTAATAAGAATTCTTTCTGATGGATAGTTCAAGTTTTTATAACACGGGCGGTTGACGGTGGTATTGTGGGACGCACACACACACACACACACACACACACACACACACACACACACACACACACACACACATTCTCTTACCATCATTTATATGCCAAACATACAGTACATATATATCTAACTAACATATTAACACAACATATATATTTACCTTTAACTAAACATTATAGTTATATATCTTGAGAAGTCGTATATCTCTCATTAGTTAAGGAGACAATAATAAGGCACATATTATCTCCAACGGTTGAGAAGTTACGAGTGAGTTTTGATCTTTGAGACAATAATAACCATCGACTCACACACACTGAGCCACATAGTTCTCCTCCTAACAACTACATCTTCACTATAACACAAAGGATTGTCATATAACCATACAACTTAAATATATTCTAATTATTCGATTATAATTTTCAGTATTTCATCATAAAACTTAAATCAAATCAAACTACTTCACTAAAATTATAAAATCATCAATTATTTGTTATTATTTTTTCCCTTTCGTCTATTTATAAATTTTTAAAGGATATTTAGACAGAATATCTTAAAATAATTCATAATATAAATGCGAGAAAATAAATAAATTGTTTACTAAATTTAACATAACTTAATACTTAAAATCAAATACGATATCCGATTGTAAATAAGAATTATCCATTCATTTTATACATCTAGTGAATAATTATACTAAACACTCATACTGTATAAATCATTCACTAACTTTCAAACTCTTTTTATTTTAATCTGATATTTGAAAGTCAGTTTAATATATCACTCAGTTTAGTTTTCTTTTCATAGTCTTTTTAGTTTATTAATTGTATAAAATATTGTTTTTTTGAATTCTTGGGTTGGTTAGGTCAAGGTTAGGTTAGGTCAAGGTTTGGTTAGGTCAAGGTTAGGTTAGGTCAAGGTTTGGTTAGGTCAAGGTTAGGTTAGGTCAAGGTTTGGTTAGGTCAAGGTAAGGTTAGTTAGGTAAGGTTAGGTCAAGGTAAGGTTAGGTCAAGGTTGGGTCAAGGTAAGTTAGGTCAAGGTTAGGTCAAGGTTAGGTCAAGGTTAGGTTAAGGTAGGGTTAGGTCAAGGTTTGGTTAGGTCAAGGTTAGGTCAAGGTAAGGTTAGGTCAAGGTTAGGTTAAGGTTAGGTTAGGTTAGGTTACACTTACGTTCATTGAGGTATATAACACTAGGTGAGGAAGGAAGGAAAAGAGGAGGTGGGAGAGGGAAAGAAGGAAGGAAGGATGGATAAATACGGAGGAAGAAATAAAGATAAGAGATAATGAGGAAGGGAGAGAGGAAAGAAATAAAAGGAGCAAATTAAGGACGAATCCGAGGGAGAGAAGAAGAGGAACGAAAGAATGAGGGAGAGGGAAACAAAAAGAGAGGAAGAGGAAGGGAGGCAAGAAGGTAGGGAACGATGGATGGAGGGACTCAGGGAGGTGGGAGGGAGAGAGGGAGGATAGGAAGGGTGGATGTAGAGGAGGAAGAAGTGAAAGGAGTGAAGGAATGAAGGAGGGACCTGTGCAGGTAGGGAGAGAAGGAAGAGGGAAGAATATAGGAACGAGAGAGAGAGAGAGAGAGAGAGAGAGAGAGAGAGAGAGAGAGAGCTTGTTAATTCGTTGATTCTCTTTATGTCTGAGTGTGTGTGTGTGTGTGTGTGTGTGTGTGTGTGTGTGTGTGTGTGTGTCTCATATTTACATCTCCCAACATTAGGGAAGACTTGATGAATTGATTGTCTTTGTTTTGATAGATTTACCCCTCCCTCCCCTCTCTCTCTCTCTCTCTCTCTCTCCTTCACCGCCGTCGTCGGAGTAACAAGCACGTCAGGCTGGGCGTTGCATGACAGATAAGCGTACCGTGATTATACCGCACCGCCCGGTAATTGTTGTACATCGGTCCCGGTAATCGTCGCACCGGTAGGGGAGTTGGGGGAGGGGGGGTGGTGGGAAAGGTGGGTGTGGGGTAATAGTCGTACACTGGACCAGGTTAGTCGTACACTGAACCAGGTAATAGTCGTACACTGAACCAGGTAATAGTCGTACACTGAACCAGGTAATAGTCGTACACTGAACCAGGTAATAGTCGTACACTGGACCAGGTAATAGTCGTACACTGAACCAGGTAATAGTCACACTGAACCAAGTAATAGTCGTACACTGAACCAAGTAATAGTCGTACACTGAACCAGGTAATAGTCGCACTGAACCAGGTAATAGTCGTACACTGAACCAGGTAATAGTCGTACACTGAACCAGGTAATAGTCGTACACTGAACCAGGTAATAGTCGTACACTGGACCAGGTAATAGTAGTACACTGAACCAGGTAATAGTCGTACACTGAACCAGGTAATAGTCGTACACTGGACCAGGTAATAGTCGTACACTGAACCAAGTAATAGTCGTACACTGAACCAGGTAATAGTCGTACACTGAACCAGGTAATAGTAGTACACTGGACCAAGTAATAGTCGTACACTGGACCAGGTAATAGTCGTACACTGAACCAAGTAATAGTCGTACACTGGACCAGGTAATAGTCGTACACTGAACCAAGTAATAGTCGTACACTGAACCAGGTAATAGTCGTACACTGGACCAGGTAATAGTCGTACACTGAACCAAGTAATAGTCGTACACTGAACCAGGTAATAGTCGTACACTGAACCAGGTAATAGTAGTACACTGGACCAAGTAATAGTCGTACACTGGACCAGGTAATAGTCGTACACTGAACCAAGTAATAGTCGTACACTGGACCAGGTAATAGTCGTACACTGAACCAAGTAATAGTCGTACACTGAACCAAGTAATAGTCGTACACTGGACCAAGTAATAGTCGTACACTGAACCAAGTAATAGTCGTACACTGAACCAGGTAATAGTCGTACACTGAACCAAGTAATAGTCGTACACTGGACCAGGTAATAGTCGTACACTGAACCAGGTAATAGTCGTACACTGAACCAAGTAATAGTCGTACACTGAACCAGGTAATAGTCGTACACTGAACCAGGTAATAGTCGTACACTGAACCAAGTAATAGTCGTACACTGGACCAGGTAATAGTCGTACACTGGACCAGGTAATAGTCGTACACTGAACCAAGTAATAGTCGTACACTGGACCAGGTAATAGTCGTACACTGGACCAGGTAATAGTCGTACACTGGACCAGGTAATAGTCGTACACTGGACCAGGTAATAGTCGTACACTGAACCAGGTAATAGTCGTACACTGGACCAAGTAATAGTCGTACACTGGACCAGGTAATAGTCGTACACTGAACCAGGTAATAGTCGTACACTGGACCAGGTAATAGTCGTACACTGAACCAGGTAATAGTCGTACACTGGACCAAGTAATAGTCGTACACTGGACCAAGTAATAGTCGTACACTGGACCAGGTAATAGTCGTACACTGGACCAGGTAATAGTCGTACACTGAACCAAGTAATAGTCGTACACTGGACCAGGTAATAGTCGTACACTGGACCAGGTAATAGTAGTACATTCTCGACCAGGTGGGTTAGTCGCACACCGAACCAAGTAATAGTCGTACACTGGACCAGGTAATAGTCGTACACTGACCAGGTAATAGTCGTACACTGACCAGGTAATAGTCGTACACTGAACCAAGTAATAGTAGTACACTGGAACCAAGTAATAGTCGTACACTGGACCAGGTAATAGTAGTACACTGACCAGGTAATAGTAGTACACTGAACCGCATTAGTCGTACACTGACCAGGTAATAGTCGTACACTGGACCAGGTAATAGTAGTACACTGAACCAAGTAATAGT